GGGGTGGGATGGACAGCAGTAATCGCTGTCTGCAGACTCTGCTGTGCGTGGGAGATACTCCTCTGCCTGCACATGTTATCTTGGACTGGGGAGAAATTGACAGTGAGTTTTGTCACAGCCACATTGGGGGCACTGGGGGCAGCCCAGCTCCCTCCAGACAGCCTCTGCGTCTACCTTGCCTTAGTCCTGTGGCAAAAAGAGCATCAAAAGTGTATTCCTGCCATGCAGGGAGAAGGTGAGGATTTAGGACCAGCACGGAGCAGGGGACAGGGTTGTGATGGGCTCAGGTGAAGACAGGTTTAGACTGTCCTATGTCACCGCATCCCTGTCAGTGTGGTGCATCCCAAGGACACACACTGCCCGTGGTGGGGTACCGGAGCAGCTCCCAGCCACGCCAGCCCCTGCCCTGTGTCTGGGCACAGAAAGGCTCAGAGAGCTTGGGGTTTTCTGGGAGAGGGGCATTGCATTATCCATCCTGCTCACTGACCTGGTGCTGGCTTTTAGCACCCTGAATCTGCCAGCCTCTTGATGGAGCAAAATTACTGACTTTGCTGGGAAAACCCACCTGAGCAGCTGCCAGCACTAGTGAGTCGTGACAGGCTCTGACTCACGGCGCAGTTTTGTGTTTACACGACACATCCTTGGCGGCAGTTGGGGTGACAACTGGGACAAGCAGCACTGTGTGCAGCTGCAGGTAGTGCAGCTGCGGGTACAGTGGAGCACCTGGCTGGTTCAAGGGCTGGGGAGGTCAGAAAGAAGCTTTGCCAGGATAGTGGGGCTAAGACAGCCAGGATCTGGAGGAGGGAGCTGCCATTTTCAGATGGTTACTTTTAGAAGCAGAAGTGCAGGGTAAAATCCCTCCAAATATTGCTGAATCTGGAGTCAAACCTCACGGTGGCTCTGCGGCGCTGGGTATCACTTGCTATGAGATTTTTTTCCCCTTGAGCATCGTGTGTGTCTTTGCATTAGTGAGCGGTGCAGCCCGGCAGGGTGCACCTGATATCCCAGTGATGGGCCCTTCCACCTTGAGAAGTGTCCCTGGTGCCAGTCGAGGTCTCTGGGGACACATCTCAGTGGCTGGGATGATGCTGAAGTCTCTGTGTCACTGT